AAATATTGAAAATTAATATTTTTAAATAAAAAAGTTAAAATTTGACAATTTTAAATAAAAAATATTAAAAATTAGCATCCTTATTTAGAAATTAATAAAATTAACATTCTTAAATAAAAAAATTATAAATTTAACATCATTTTTTATATTTTTACTCCTTGAAAATATCAATATATAAATTAATTTTAAATTATTAAATAATATATATCAATTATTCTATTAATTATCAATTAATAATTACGATTACCATCTCTCCCTACCTACTAAATTAAGCAGAACGTGTTGCCGTAACTATGACCAGTTGATGACGACAACAAATTTGCGTATGGTTATGAATGCACGCACAAGTTGCAACCAAGTATGATCCACCATGATCAATTCTTTGTCTGTATTTATATACTGAGGGAAGGGAAGGTGATTTTTGCATTGGACTCTTAGCTGTATCGCCTGTATGTACTCACATTAAGGGCAGGTGTATGATTCTCTTGACAATGTAGAATTCTTCAGGACAACAAAACCATGCTTGTCTTCTTTTTTCTTTCATCATGTGCATGTCCTTGTTCTTCCTCAAGACATGACATTAACGTCAATTTTGTCACATACTATGGTATCAAAAAGAGAATCCTAAAGAGATTTTTTTCTTTTTTAAATACTTATAACTTTAGAGGTAGAGAATATAAAATCGGTTTTTAAATTGAAAGTGCACTTACAATATAATTTATGATTATCGGGTCAAGAAGATAAAGTGCGAATCCAAAAGGGATTTAAACATATCTTTTGAAGTGTAATTAATTGGTAGTTATTTTTAGAACTATGACCACAGTAATAAAAGTTTTATTCTTCTAAAAAAACAAGATAAATAACATGTCTGTTCAATTAACCACAACCACCATAAAAGGGAAATGGAAAAAGTAGCCATGTTAAAGAATATCATTTAACGGCCAATGAAACAAAAATATTTACATCATTTAACCCAAAAAAAAAAAAACTGAAATGCAGGCTCTTTAGAGCATTAATCATAACAAAGTAACTATACACCCCTGAGTAGATATGCATTTACAATTTACATGTATACATTCAGAGTTTGCTGATTCAGTTGAAACAGAAGTTAAAGAGTTACTTGTTCCACATTGATCATTATCAGATGAATGGAGATTTTAGATATCAGTCTCAAACTCTCAAAATATTATATAGGGCTGACTCTGGCCTTTGTAGTGAATCAACTTTCAGTATGAAGTCTAGGGTCTTCAATCTTCAAGGCGCCTGAACCAGTCACTAATAGTTCTGGAGAGGACTCGAATTTCATTGAGTGAAAGAGTCTTGAGTCCCTGAGCTATAGCATCTGCTGGAGTATACAAGTCACCTACTTGCCATTTCGGTTCCTAGTGAGGGAATGCAAATTGCACTTTGTTAGAAATGGATGAATCGAAAGATAGACCAGCAAGAGGTCTTTTTCAAGAACTTAAGTTAATATCGTGAAAAGTAATAAAAAGCTCATTTTCTTACTTGAGTGTTAATTAATAAAAAATGAAGAGATAATGAGCAAATTCTTAGCTACAAATACTCAATCACCATCATCAATGGAAGATGTAATATTCCTACTATGGCAACTAGAAGGCAGAAAGCATCACCCATCTTGTGTTGGAGATGAGAAGAAAGAGGGAGGTCAAGAGATTAATTTTGTAACCATTACCTGGATGCATGGTGTTATATGATTACCATATAGCTGGACCTTTTCTAGTGTCCCACCAATAGACTCTACACGAGGCTTCAATGTCTCTTCAAGGAGATCCGTCTCGTCAATTGTATCAAAGTTGAACTTTACCTATGAATTGTATTAGACATGCCACAAAAATAAATATTAAAGGCACCAGAATATTTAAATTCTTCAAAAGACAGCATAAAAAGAATATACCAGGAGTGTGTGTTGGACATTGTAGGAGTTCTTACAACATTCACGATTCTCAGAAGGGGTTGGTTTGAACTCTGATATCCCTTCTGTTACCTATAAGAAGCAAGTTCACCAGGTTAGACAAAATTACTGGCCTAACACTTCAGGATACTATCAAGGTTCATAATAAAATCTAATGAAACATGATTAATTGTAGGTGCATTAAATTTTTATGACACCTCTCGAGCATGCTAACAATGTTCAATTCAATTGAGGTCACAAAATTCATCAACCTTGTAAACCTCATCACTGCTTCAGTTTAAACTCATCCACCAGAACAGTCTAAACTCTAAACCCTATAATTTGATCACCATTGCAAGGCAGACAAAGAAAGAACCTTGTAAACCTCATCATGGATTCAGTTTAGGGGAAGTGAATTTGCCACATACATTTATCTCAAGTGTTGTACAGACATCAAAACTACCTGGCCAAAAACTGAGGGCAACTGATCAACAAATTTGGTGAATGAAACTAAGGCTTCCTGGTCACTGTCTGGTACCATTTGTCCAGCTGTATCAAGCAATGCCTTCCAAGCATCATCTGAGATTCGTCGTGGAAGGAGAATCAATTAGATATGTATAAAATGTAAAGGTATGATTATTAACTAACTAAAAACAAGAACATCATAAAATTAAAATAATTGTGGCTTGCTCCTTAAAGTTCCTATTGTCATGTCCATGTTTATAATTATAAGGATGTCACCAAGTCAGTTTGATGGGTATCATTATAGGGCAAGGGGCATAATTTCCATATTAAGGGGAGAAGTCTAGCACCTAAGGTGGCATCATCAAAAGAAGAAGTCTAGCACCTAAAGGGCAATTGTCTTTCTTAGAGTCAAACGAGCCTTGAAGATAACAAAGCAATTGAGATAAAAAAGTTTGTTCAAATTCTGTATCACATTTGACTTATAAGGAAAGGGATGAAAGAAACCTTCTCCAAGATATACACAGTCCTTTAGGCATCAAGGGCACTTTCTTGCAACAAGAACCCAAATTTAAGTCCAAAATCACACAAAATAATGGAAGGGATTTGGCACCAAACATGAGATAAGAGTTAGGACATAATTCACCTGTTGCACTCCTTGCCATTGAATACACAGGAAAAGCTTCCACCATTGGCATCATCTGTCTAACTAGAGGACCCAACTGCAGAGAAGGATTAGACCTTTAGGTGTGCATAGATCCACTAGGAATCAACTAAAACTAATGCATGCTAAAATCGCTTTCTTTCAATTGGATGATTAAAAGTGGTTCAGGATTGCTGATATATGATCTGCATGTGGCAATAAATCCAAATTTATCTCTAGTCCAGATTATGTCAATAATATCTCTTATATTTTTACCCTTCTATCATATTAGTATGAAAATGCTCATGTGAAGGAAAAAATGCCAGCAGGAAATACTGAGGTTCAATGTGGCTGAAAATGAGGCAATCATTTGACAAAAAGCATTACCTGCTCAAAGTATGGAACTGCCTCTGTTGCTGATCTGTTATTGTATGAGATAATGGCATTAGCCTTCCAAAGAGATAACATTCTTTGTCACACTCCAGAAATTCTCAACTCATTCTAAATTAAATAAAGCTTCAAAACTCATTCTGCCTTCAAAAACATATCTACTAGAATCTATTCCTTCAATAATTCTCCAATAAATGACCAGAAAGTGGGAAAAGGCAAGGACAACCAAACCTTTGGTATCTTCTCACAGAAATAACTCCCTGTGAGTACTTGGAGAAGGGCACCATTGCTGCAATAACAATCAGGAAGCCACAACGGACCATAGTCCATACTTAGTACAAACCAGTATGGAAAACAATGGATTGCAACAAGTCTAATAAATGTGATGAGACATTAAAATACCCAATAACGAGATAGAACAACAACAACATAATTAAGATAGCTTGAGACACATTAAAAAATAAGGTTTTTGATTATACGAAACATTAAACTCTGCAATAGAATGGAGAATACTACTTAAGAAACGAACATGGGAAACATAAAAAGATCACCGAGAAACTGACCTGTGGCCAACACAGTATACGGGAAGGTTAACAAGATCGGCAGGCGTAAGATTAGCATCTGAAAATCCAGAAGCAAGAAGTTTATCATAGCAGGCATTGAACCTTTCATAAACTTGGTTAGCAGCTTGTGCATGATCAAATGTCACATTGTACGGCACAGAGATTATAAAAAATCCTTCCTTTGCCAAAAGCTCAATCATGTACCTACAAAGAACCCACAATTAAAGTACCACCCTAACATAAATATTTCACTAATCATTCCAACAAACAATCAAAAACAAGAAGAAACGACAACTGGGTACCCATAAGTAGCTTCAGGGACAGCTCCAATGAAAGCTCCACCCAAGAATTTGATGATTGCGCGCGGTTTCTTGCCTCTGGCTGGAGGAATGACCAAGCAGGAGTCCTGCCTCGTGTATATCTTAGTGCTACTGTTTCTGTAACTTGAATTAGAACTAATATTATTGTTGATCCCCAACCTGCTACTTCGACCCACATACCCATTTGATGTCATCCCCGGAAACGCAGATTGGGAGTTGAAAAACTGGATCATTCCAGGATATTTATGTGGGAACAAAGGTGGAGACCGTGGAGTGATATTCTTGGAAAACAGGAGACTAAATTGTGAGCCTGAGATGAAAGAGGTAGCCAGTTCCATACCAGGAAGCTACGGGAGAAAATATTCAGCAAGAATGGGTCGCCGGCGATGCTAGATGAAAAGGTTGATTATGGCTGTGGGAAGGAATGGGACGGAGAGTGAAAAAATGGGGAACGGAGAAGTGGAGGAAGCTTATGATGGTGATTAGACCACGATACAGGTTTAGATGTGAGCGGGAAATAGCCCACAAGATAAGCTACCCATTTCGGAGCTGGGTTTGGGTTTCAGTTGCTGGACCATTTTCCTGTTTTGGACCTCAAAAACAGTTGCCTCCATGCAAAATCAAACTGCAGCCCTTCAGTTTTCAACACTTACGCTCCTCCACCTAACTGTGTTGGCCTCGAACCCATCTCTCCAACTGTTCTCTTTTTTTCTTTATTTTCGGTAGGATAGAGATTAGAGTTGAGATTCTAAATTTGTAGTTAAAAATATAGATAATTTTACTTTTAAATTATGTGATTAATGTTATTTAATGATTTTTGTTGCGGAGCCTAAATTGCACGACCTTTTTTAAGATAAAATAACATAATCTTATACTCCTTTTAAAATTTGTGTGATTAATTTGAGTCACAAAACTTTGTTTCTTTCATGATTTCATCATAGTTTAGGCAACCCTAGAGTTGGAATTATTGAAAAATAAGTGTTTTATATTATGTTTAGGAATTTTTGATATTAGTATCTAAGAAAATTAATTTTCTTAAATGTATTAGATAGATGAATTACCTTTAAACTTTTTTAAGAAGGAATTACTTTTCGAGATATACAAAAGTTGATCTAAGAATACTCTCATAGTAAATAAAAGAAATCATAATTTAGGCAATTTTGCTATGCTTTTTTTAGTACAGTGGAGGATCCATTCGGTATGCAGTGCATCCCATATCTTCATTTGTTCCTAGCTATATATGGCCATTTTGAATCAAAACCAATGTTTAACATGACAAAGTTAAAGGGTATGTTTGGATAAAAATTACTAAATTAGCAAAGTAAAAGAAAGGGAAAAGAGGAGAAGACGAGGAAAAGAAAATAAATAGTATTAATTTTACTTGGATAGAGAAAAGCAAAAAAAAAAAAAAAAATAATATTTTTATTTAATTAAATAATTAAAAATAAAATAAAATATTTAAATTTTATTAATTAAAATAAAATGTTTATATTTATTTATTTTTT